GGGCCCGGCTGCATGGCGCCAGCGGCGTCCTCCTGAGCGGCGCGGGCAGCGACGGGCGGCGGGCGGATCGGGCCGCGGCTCTTCCTCGCCATGGGGGACGTGCTGTCCACGCACCTGGACGACGCCCGGCGCCAGCACATCGCAGGTGAGTCCCGCGCGGTGCAGCGCTCCGGGGGTCCAGCGGGGAGCCCCCGGGCCACGCCCCCAACCCGGTCGGCCGGCGGCGCCGGCCCGGGTCTCGGGGGAATCAGGCCCGGGGCAAGGCGGGAGTGGCCGGGGACCAAGTCCTGCGTCTAGCTTGTTCCCTCCACGTTTGGGCGTTCCTTCCTGCCCCCTTAGGAGCTCGCCCTTCCCCCTCCTGAGGGCAGTCGAACCTCCCCCTCCTCTACTGGAACCCCCTCCGAGCCGGTCCCTTCGAATGCCCCCCAACACACTACCCTGATGATGTTGTGGCCCACTCGGCCAGCGTGTCCTGATCGTCCTCCCTCACTGTCCCGGTCCCCACCTCATCCTGGCCCCAGCCCTAGTACACGTGGCTGAGGCTTCTAGGGACAGGCTCATCCATACTTGGACTGAGCCTGGGGAGTAGGGCTAGGGATAGATGGGGTGCACAGGAGGAGTAGGTCAGAACCCCTGCCCTTTGACTCAGGCTCAAGCAGGGGCTCCTGCTGGCAGACATGTCCAGGGGGCTGGTCAGGGCCGGAGCCCAGCCTCCTCAGCCCCCTCCTTCAGCCATCCCTGCTCCCAGCCTGTCACTTCACAGTGGCCACTTCTCAGAAGGGTGACTGACCCCAGGCTTCCTGGGGAAGCCCCAGGGTAGCAGCAGGGTCCGGGTCCCCTCCTCCCCCTACCCTGGAGAATGGAGAGGTGGGGTGAGAATCTCAGACTGCCTGGGAAACTTCAATTTTGTGGTTCACCTCTCCCGCCCTGGGTGAGGCTGCCTGGGTGGAATCCCAGCATCTGTTTCCCAGCCGTTAGGTCTTAGAGAAGTCTCTTCATGGCCTGGCACCTCAGTTTTCTCCTCTGAAACGGGGTGAATAATTTCTTATTAATGAGCTGTTGAGAGACTCATTGTTTCCTGTAGCTTGCTTAGCACAGGGCCTGGTAGAGGAGGCACCCATGCATGGGGTGCTGGTCCATGTGGGGTGTGGGGTGGGTGCAGCCGATGGAAGGAGTTATCTGTTCCTCTTCTTGAATTTGCTACTCTCTGTCCGGTGAACCCAGAGCACTGTGTCCACCTACATTTATCTTGATGGGTCCTGCAGTCCTGTAAAGTTTCAGCAGCTGTGTTCTGTCTGCTTGTACCCCTTGAGAAGAGTGACCAGGTGTCCCTTAACTCTGTGTCTCCAGGACCCCACGGTTGAGCACAAAGAAGGTGCTGAGGAAGTGTTGTCCAGTGACTGTGGTACTGGGCCTGCCGCCCGAGTTCCCCCTTTGCGCCAGGCCTGGGCCCCGGGTGCCCGGGTGAGGGTGAGGTAGAAATGAGTCAGACTCTCTCCAGCCTCAGAGCAGCAGGGGGTTAAGTCCTGGAAAAGCCTCCTTAGAGGACCGGCCTGGACTCTGGGAGGAGGAAAGCCGGGGCGGAGTCTTCCTGTCCCCTCCCTGTCGGTGGCAGCCTCCTGGGGCTCTGTAACAGTCCATCCATTCACGACCTCCTGTTGGGGCCCCTCACCAGGCCTGGGTGGGGTGTGCTGCTCCTTCTTCGGTGGGGTTTTTCCTTCCCCCACACCCAACTCTTGCTCTCCCCCCTCTTTCTACCTCCTGGGCTGGGAACTGCCCGCACCCCTCCACCCCCATTTTACACGGGTGGCAACTGAAACCACAAAAGGTGAAGTGTCCTCTCTTGGACATGGTTGGGTTTGTTTTGTGGATACCAGGCTTGTGCCCACTCGGCCTGCTGGCCCCTCTTCTCTTCTCAACACTTCAGGGCTATTAATAACCCTCTTCAAATGCCTCAAATTCCTGGTCCAGGCTCACCTGGGGGAGCGTCTTAAGTCGGGCTTGGGAGGTTGGAAGCAGGGGAAAGCCTCTAGCCCCCTCCAGGGAAGCAAGCCACCTTAGAAATTTCTTTTGGAGGGAATGAAAGCTAGCCTTTGCCACCTCCAGTGATCCATGCACCCTCCCCACCCGACCCAAGGAGCAGTGAGCACTTTCATGCCACACAATTAAAATTCCAGAGCCCTCCCTACCTGGGCCACCCCTTTGGAAATGTCAACATTTGGAACGTCCCTTCCCGCAGTGCTCTGGGCTCCGAGGCTTGTTGGGGTTCTGTGGCTTGGCAGGGCGGGTGGCCCCTGCAGCTTTGTGCCCACCTGCGCAGGTGAGCAGGTGAATGCCAGCCTACAAGTCCTGGCAGAGGTCAGGCACACTCCTGCCCAGGTGCCATTTTGCTGCCACGGTGCCTTTCATCCTGGGATTTCAAAGCCCCTGGCAAGCAGGGGCTTGTTCTCACAGTAGCAGCCTCGTGGGGCTGATGGCAGGATGATTATTCCCTCCTACTTTTCAGGAGGGAGCTTGAGTGGAGAAAGAGCCCTGACCTGGGAGCCAGGAGGCCTGGGTAACCTCAGGCAGTCACTTACTCTCTCTGGGTCTCAGTTTCCCTAGCTGTGAACTGAAGGCTGTAGGCTACCTGATGGCTGAAGTCCCTTCTGGCTCTGAGAGTCTAAGGGTCCCAAATGTTTCCCACGAATCTCCTCCAGATTCGGGCCAGCTCAGGCTTCCAGTACTGACTTCACATTCTGTTAGCTGATGTGAACTTGGGCCAGCATCTTAATCTCAATTTTTTAATCTGTAGAATGGGAATAATAGTAGTTTCCGGCTGGACTCCCGTTGCAAGGATTTAATGAGATAATGCTGGTAAGACGCTCAGCCCAGTGCTTCGGGGCATAGCAAGTGCTCAGCAAACAGTTGCCATTATTGTTGAGAATTGTCATCTATTTTATTTTATTATTTTTAAAGTTTTTATTTATTTATTTGACAGAGAGATAGCGAGAGCAGGAACACAAGCAGGGGGAGTGGGAGAGGGAGAAGCAGGCTTCCCGCCAAGCAGGGAGCCTGATGTGGGACTTGATCCCAGGACCCTGAGATCATGACCCGAGCCAAAGGCAGACGCTTAACCGACTGAGCCACCCAGGCCCCTGACAACTGTCGTTTATTCTGTTACCGATTCTCTAGTAGGTGAGGAGAGTGGCCAGGTGTTTGGAGTGCGAAGGGGGCGATTGTCGCTGTGGTTTAGGTCCTGTTTCTCTGAGATTTGTCCAGTCCCCGGCCTCAGGGTGGATACTGGTTCCTTGGATGCAAGAATCCACCAGGGTTTTTAGAAAACTTGAATTCCACGTTCCTTGTGCCTTGGCAGATGTGTGAGATGGATGTAGGCTATCTTGAGTGGGTGTGGAGGGCAGTGATGGGGGCCCCCCTATGACTAGGAAGGAGCTAGGACATGGAGAGGTGGGGGATTAGGCCAACCCACACCTTCCATCTGGCCCAGAGGACAGGGCTGGGATGAGAGAATGTAAGGGTCTGGGTGGCCCATGTTGGTGCTATAGGAGGGGTTCTTTGCCACCAAAGCCAAGACAGAAGAGGTGAGGGAGGGAGCTTACTGTTGCGCAATAGGGGCTGGGTGCTGTGCCCTTGGCAGGAATCCTGGCATTGCCTAGGGGGGCCCTTCTGCCTCCAGGACAGCCTTGAAGAACTCAGCGCCTCTGGAAATTCTGTTGGCCGGGATGAAATTGTGGGAGCCAAGGGAACCGCACCCCCCATACATAAACTGCCCTTAAGATTTATTACCTGAAAGGGCTGGTAAAGTAGTTTGCCAGTACTCCCTTCTGCCGGGCTCGCCTTTCCCTTTGCTAATTCTTTTTTAAATAGCAGCTTTATTGAAACATAATTCACCTGCCAGACAATTCACCCACTTAAGTGTACAGTTCATTGGGTTTTGTGTGTGTGTGTGTGTGTGTGTTCACAGAATTGTGCATCCAGGGGCACCTGGGTGGCTCAGTCGGTTGAGCCGCTGCCTTCGGCTCAGGTCATGGTCCCGGGGTCCTGGGATCGAGCCCCGCATCGGGCTCCCCGCTCGGCGGGGAGCCTGCTTCTCCCATTGCCTCTGCCTGCCTCTCTGCCTACTTGTTCTCTCTCTCTCTCTGTCAGATAAATAAAAAAATAAATAAAATAAAATAAAAATCTTAAAAAAAAAAAAAAAAAGAATTGTGCATCCATGGCCACAGTCAATTTTCGAATGCTTTCATCGCTCCAGAGAGAAACACTGTGCCCACTAGTGGTCACTCCCCTTTCCCCTGGTTGTTCCCCACCGTGGGCATCCACTGCTCATGTTGGCTGGTTGTACAAGTAATGCATGCACGAGCCGCATAGGAGTGTAAGGTGAGAAAGCATCCTCTCCCTTCGCTCCCACCCCTCAGGAGAAACTGCTGGAGTTTGGTGTGTCGCCCGTGTCCAAACACACGTCTCTGTGGACACACACGTTTAGCTCTGGCTATAAGAAGAGCCCCAGTGATAGGGCTTTGTGGTTGGACTTTTTTTTTCACTCTGTCTATTGTGAACATCTTTCTGTGTTGGAGCACGTGAGTTGGTCCCATTTGAACTTCTGCGGGTGGATTTCCTTCTGTGCATGGTGCCATTTATTTCCTCATCCCCCCCATCAATGGACATTTGGGTGGTTTCCAGTGTTTGGCAGGAATTCGGGGCGCTGCCCAAACCTTGCCCTCGTCCCGGGCCAGGTTCTGGTGTCAGGCCTCTGAAAAGGCTGTAAATGTTTGAAACTCCCTCTCGTTGGTACAGAGTACCTCAGTGCAAGTCTTATCACCCTTTTTGGGAGTCGGATATGAGAAAAAGGGTATCTCATTTATTTATTGAGCAAAATGAATAACGCCTTTTTTCCAAATTGATTTTGCACACCTACCTCTCCACATTTGGGAAAGGGCTGCAGGTCCCCAGTGTGAAGGGAAGAGGGTGTCCCCTTTCGGCACCTCCCCCCCCCCCCAGTGTGTGGCTTTCTAGTCGCTGCCCTGGGGCTTTGCAGAGGGACCAGGCTGGCCGGAAACAGTGCCCAGCCCCGCCTGGGCCTCTGCCCCTTAGCCAAGGTCTGGGTCAGCCCCTGGGGGTGAAGCGTCTGGGGATTCTGCTCTGCTC